CTAACAGCATCAAATCGAAATGGGATTGATTTAACAAACTTAACGCTTCTACAGCATCTTTTGCATCTACAATCGTTTCAAAAAAAAGAGATTGCTCACACAACGAGCGCATTATTTTGCGTTGAATAGGCTCGTCATCTACAATCAATACACTGAAAGTCTTCATTGCTGTTTCAATTTCATCTTCAAAGAAACCGAATATTTTCCGTTTTTACTTTCTGTTAGCAAACTATAATGATTTTCCCCCATTAACGACAATCTGCTTGTTAAGTTTTTTAAACCCATACCTTCGTATTTATCGTACACTACTCTTTGCTTGTTCGGATACGTGTTTTCTAAAAAGAATTCCAAATCGTTGTCTACAACTTCCATATAACCACTAATTTCAATGAGCTGTGAAGCTATTGTATTGCTATGTTTAAATGCGTTTTCGAACAGCACAATTAATACTGACGGCATTACAAAAAGCTGGCTAGGTATATGTTCCGGGAATTTAAAATGGAAGGAAAGATTTTCGCCATATCTAATTTTTTCAAGGGCTATGTAATCTTTCAGATAATCAACTTCTGTCTTCAATGCAATAAAAGAAGTCTCTGAATTGTAAATCTGGTGTCGTAAAATATTCGATAATCGAATCATTAGCTCTGGTAATTCATCGGATTTTTCTAATGCTAAACCATAGAAATTGTTCAAGGTATTAAACAAGAAATGAGGATGGATTTGAGAACGCAAAAAATATTCCTTTTGATTCAAAAGCTCCTGTTTTTGTGCAATTTCTGACACCAGAGTCAAGTATGCATTTCGAGCAATTTTTAATGCAAGTGTAAATGCCGCCAAAAAGATGTAAAAAGGCAAGAAATTTTGAAACGAGATTGTCTTTCCTTGGCTGTTAGAGATATTGTAGAGTAATGCATTGACGTATGTGGAACAAACCAATATAACGCCAAACGCTAAAAGTGAAAACAGATACTTTTTACGAGCAACAAAAAAGCCATATGCAAAATAGAGGGTGATGTTGACATACACAAAATAAATAGCCAATGTGCCGAAATAATTAGCTAAAATGTAATACCAAGAATGCCCTGCCCCTATCCAACCTAAGCTAAACGAAAAAGCTAGAACACTCCAAAAAAACACATGTAAGAACACACGGTTTTTCAGCAACTTTATGAGCACTTCATTTTGCACTTTTCTTATATTTCTCAAGTTTACTTAATTCTATAAACGAATCCTAAACTCACATAGGCTTTGTAGGTAGGCAATCCTACATTAAAGAATTTGCTTAAGGGATTATCATCGGCAATTCCTCTATTCGACATTTGCAATGCGGATTCCAAACCATATTGTTGCTTTTTGCCAAAAAAACCACCTAATTTAAAGCGACTGCCAAAATCGTAGGTATGAATTGTATAATTCCAACTTACATCTAATGCAGCCTTTTCATTTTTCACATTCCCTTTGTTATTCAAAACTTGATAGCCAATATAGGGAGCCACCCCCACATAAAAGGAACTTTTTTTGAAAGGAATAAATTCAACATTAAAAAGTGCATTTGCTCTAAACTCTGCTGAGGTGGATTTCTCTTTATTATTGGTTTCAAAAAACTTGGCAGGTACCAGATAAAAATTATTTACTTGCAAAGAAGGACCTAACCGTACCCAGCGCTTACTGTAAGGATAATAGTTTGCATTTAGCTCGTAGCCTAAGTTATAAAACTCAGGAATGCAAAATCCAGCCTGTACTGTCCATGTAGGTTTCACCTTTTCAAAGGTTTTAACAGGTTTCTGTGCCATTAAAAAAATGGGGAAGAAAATTAAAAGCAACGATTTCATAAACTATTTTTAATGAATATTAATTAGCAAATACAAATTGGATTCCTTCTTTAAACGTAGGATAAGGGTCTGTGCCATGTTGTTCGGGGTACAACGAAAAGCCGATTTTAAGATTTTGATAGTTTCTGTTTTTTAATCGTTTATAAAATTCTTGATGCATTGCAGGTGAGCTTCCTACATAAGTTCCGCTTCCTATAAAAAGCTTTACGGGCAAATCGGTTACTTGGGTAGCAGCTATTTTTTCTTTTTCGAAAATATAATTGTCTATACCAAGTCCTATGCTACAACTAGCCGCTATGCCCTTTTTAAATAAGGGTTGTGTAGCATTATCTAACAAAGAATAAAGTGTAAATATTCCTCCTAAAGAATGCCCGAAAAGAACACGATTGGCAGTATCGCATTTGTATTTTGCATCTACTTTAGGTAACAATTCGGTTTTCATAAATTGGAAAAACTTTTCGCCTGCAGCATTAGCATCTACTCCCTCTCCAGGATATTGCAAATCTACCGACCTTGCAAATACTCCATCTCCCTTTTTATAATCCAACGAAACCATTAAACATTTTGGAATTTTACCGCTTCCGCTTAAATCGCTGATAACCTCACCGGCCATATCTTTCCACAAAAACCCAACATAAAACGACACCAAAAAGACAGGATTAATATATGTTGTGGAAAAGGATAACCTGTCTGCTCAAACGCGCTTACAGCAAACCATTGAACAGAGCAAGAGCATTAGCAAAAAAGTGGAAGACATGCTCTCTGAGTTAGAAAAAATTTATGAAGGAATATTCTTAATCAATGAATTTTCGCTGCGTTCGCGCGATTTAGTCACCAGCTTTGGTGAACGGTTATCATGCACCATTGTAAACGAATATTTCAGCCAAAGCAAAATCAACTCTTCGTTCTGTGATGCCCGTCAAATCATCAAAACCGACTCTTCGTTCAGTGAAGCGAAAGTGGATTTCCCTGCTACAAATAAAGCTATTCGCGAGTATTACGCTAAACTAGGTGCCGTAGTAGTTACCACAGGTTTCATTGCTGCTGATAAACAAGGCATTACCACAACACTCGGTCGTGGAGGCAGCGATTATACAGCCGCCATTGTTGGTGCAGCTTTGGGAGCAGATGAAATTCAAATATGGACCGATGTCAACGGTGTGATGAGTGCCGATCCTAACAAAGTTCGAAATGCCATTACGCTCGATAGCATGACCTACAACGAGGCAATGGAGATGTGCTATTTCGGAGCAAAGGTGATTCATCCGCCAACAATAGTACCTGCATTGGAGAAGAACATTCCATTGCGTATTAAAAACTCTTTTCATCCCGAGCAAGATGGCACATTCATTTCGAAGAAAGCAGCCAAGAGCAACCACACTGTAAAAGGAATCACATCTATTGAGCAAGTACATTTACTGACCCTACAAGGTTCAGGAATGGTAGGTGTTGCCGGAATTTCAGCTAGATTGTTCTCCGCTTTGGCGATTGAAAAAGTGAATGTGATTTTGATTACGCA